GTGATTATAAATATTTGCCAAAACCTAACTTTTTTTTTTACAATAAATGGTATACATGTGCAAAACTGTTTATGTATACATGCACAAAACTGTTTATGTATACAGACTTTCACAGGAAGACGTGCGTTTTCACGTCTTTATATGAACACGCAAAAAAAAAATGTTTTAACGATTTGACTACGGCATATTTTTAAAATTTAAAAACGCGCTACAAAAACTTACTTAAACTTAAGTGAAAAAAAAATTTAAAAAAATAATAAATATTAACGAAAGAGAAAATAAATAAAAAAACTTAGTTTAAGCAAAAACACAAAAAAAAAAAAAAAAAATATATATATATATATATATATATATATATATATATATATATATATATATATATATATATATATATATAACGCAACTAAAACAAAACTTATCAAACTAAAATGCTTAGTCTATTTAATTTACGCATTAAAAAACCTTGTTTCAACATTTTTATATATTTTTTATTTATTTTAATATGTTCAAAAATTAAATATTTCTCATAAAAAATACATAGTTATATAAATAAAATAAAAAAATATTTTATTAATACTTTTTTAATTAATTAGAAGTGTTTATTGTTTACTTTAATAAAAGCGTTTCGATAATAAAAAAGCATTTAAGATCAAACTTATAAAATTGTAACAGTTTTCTAAAACCGTTACAATTTTATAAGTTTTTTTTTTTTAACGAAATTTTGTTAATCTTTTTAAATGCATTAACTTTAATCATTCTTATATTTAAATTCGTTAAAGAGACTTTCGTAGTCGTAGAATGTCATCGTTTATAAAAACAAAACAATTTTTTATTTTTAAATAAGATTTATTTTAAAAATGAACACTTAAACAATTTATATGTTTTAAATTAAAAAAATATATACAACTGTCAATTATATTTAAAAAACAAAACTTTTTTTTAGTAAATTGTTATTTTATTTAAAATTTTTTCGCAAATATAAAAACATTTGATAAGAAGTTTTGATGTAATTAATTTCTAAAATGTTTTTTGAATTAGCCGCGGTCAAACCGTCATGACCGTCATAATGTAACTTGCGTGGTCATATAAAGACGTGAAATCGCACATCTTCCTGTGAAAGCCTGTGTATACATGCACAAAACTGTTTATGTATACATGCACAAAACTGTTTATGTATACATGCACAAAACTGTTCATGTAAACATGCACAAAATTGTTCATGTAAACATGCACAAAACTGTTCATGTAAACATGCACAAAACTGTTCATGTAAACATGCACAAAACTGTTTATGTAAACATGCACAAAACTGTTCATGTAAACATGCACAAAACTGTTCATGTAAACATGCACAAAACTGTTCATGTAAACATGCACAAAACTGTTCATGTAAACATACACAAAACTGTTCATGTAAACATGCACAAAACTGTTCATGTAAACATGCACAAATTATTAAAAATTAATAAATTATTAGAGCAAAATATTTAAAATAAAAAAAAAAGATTTTAAAAGAACTTTATTGAAATATATTTTGTTTTTACCAGAATAAGTTTGATATTTTCTCCACAATTCGTCAAACTTAATTTGAAATATTGATAACCTCTCAGAAGCTTCTTGAGTTGTAATTCCAGGAACCATTGGGCCTCTGAACAAAATATAGTAAATATATAACTTTAAATCTAATGTTCATGTTTAATTTTAATTATAAATAAATCAAAAAAAAAAAGAGAAAGTTTTAAGAACAAGACATTTTTATAATTATTAAAAAAAATAAAAATATAGCGAAACCAAAATAATTCTGTGCAAATCAAAATAAAAAATAAAAATAAAAAATTATACTTTTGAAGATAGTCTTTATAAAATGAGATAACTGCCTGTTTGAACACTTTTACACCAGATAATAAGTTTAACTTAAACTGAGGTTGTACTTTTTGAAGATTTTGTTGAACAGATGATGCCTAATGAAATAATTACATTAAAAGCTTGTTCAAAGTGATTAAAAACCTTAAAATAATAATATTCTAAAGAAAAAAGAAAATGTGAGAATGTAAACAAATGTATTATATAAGAAATGTAAGTTTGTTAACTTTAACATTGCTTTCTCCTCAACCTACTATTGCGTGATACCAAAATAAAACTATATACCTAATTAAAATGGAAAAAAAAAAAAAAAAAGCAATGAAAAAAAAAAAATTTTTTCAAACCAATTCTTGTAATTTCTTCCAAGCATAAGTCAAGTTATCAACGTGTTCATTATCATTGAATTCATTTAAGCCATAATTACTAAGAAGTGCATACGATTCTTCGATTGGAGTAATTTCCATTTGAACTCTAGATTCATAAAAAAATTATAACTTCAATTTTAGCTTCAAAAGAAAACTATGGAAACTTATTTAATTATGCTAATTTATTTAATTAATTACTGATGGTTCACTAACTTAAAAAAACAAATTCTGAAGCGCATATGAAAATAATCAAAATCTAATTTTTTTAAATTTTTAACTCTATATACCTTATCTCTGCTTCCCTTATATCTGCAAGTGCAGCCATGCTACTCCTTACATCATCAAGATCATTAATGGGTCGAGTGAGTTGTTTATTGGTGTTATCAATAAACTGAAGAATATTTTTCATGCTATGATAAGCCTAAAATTGAATTAATTTATATAATAATATATATATATATATATATATATATATATATATATATATATATATATATATATATATATATATATATATATATATATATATATATATATATATATATATATATATATGTAGATATATATATATATATATATATATATATATATATATATATATTAATATATATATATATATATATTAATATATATATATATTAATATATATATATATATAATGATAATCAGACAAAAATTAAATGAACTTTTTTTTTTTTTTTAACTATTACTCACCTCCACAAGACCCAAGGGGGCCACTACAGTCGAGGAGGCTACTCATTTTTTATTTTTTATTTTTTTTTTTTTAATTATTATTTTTTTTTTTTTTGTAAATCGTGGTACAACCCTCTCTCAACTCTTTAACTCCGAAACACGAACCTTGACAAGCAAGGCCGCTGCGCGGAGAAATTAAGTGAGCGCGGTACTTCCAGGGACATGGTGGGAGTCGAACTCCAAACCTCTCGCTTACAAAGCGAGCGCTCTTACCACTACACCACTACCGCATTTTTATTTAACTATTTAATAAATTATCTAATAAATTAGGCTATTGAGTAAGAAACTGGTTAGTTTATACCTTGTTTATACAAGGCAATCAAGTGTGATTAATTAAAAGTAATAAATCTATAATTGAGGGTGATTTATCACATGCCATACATTATAGATTTAGTGGAAGAGATTGATCAGATAAATGGTACAACTATTAGTAATTAATTAGATGTCAAGCAATTGAGTTAAATGAAATGATTTAGTGAGATCAAATGATCATTGAAATTACTTCAACTGATAAATTAAGCAACTGAGCAAAAGATTGTTTGGATAAAGAAGACAAATAGGTAAGATTTAATGAGAATAATTGATCAAAAGAGATTATTTAGTTGGAAAACCAAAACAAACCTAAAGAATTCTAACCTGACTGTTAAGTGATAATAAACTCTACTTACTGATTCTCGTATATTATGATTCATATTGATTTAGCAAATTTGTAAAATAACAATTTTGTACAATAACTGAGTAAACTGACTAAATTAGCTATTTGTAAAATGATTGAGCAATATTTTTTAAATACAAATAAAATTGTTAGATAGTAAAAAAAAATAATTTAAAATTAATTTATAAATTACCATAAAATAAAATTCATAAATATCAACCATAAAATTCATTTATTTCAAAGAGTTTTTTATAGTCAAACAATTTCAATTGAATTTTTAAATTTTGTTCAAAAAAGTAGTTACCCTCTCAAAAAAATAGTTACCCTCTCAGCTAATGCTTTTCCATAGGCTTGCTTCCAGGTTTGAGTTTCATTCAATAAAGCTACTTTTAAAGGAATTGAAGAATAAATTATCGGACCAACTGTATAATTATCTGGTAAAATGTTTATTGAACTCTCTAAATTTATATAACGCAAAAACACTGATGCAAACTCTTCTAAACTTGGGTTATGACTCAGAAATTTTGAGACACCAAATTTTGGTTCCTGAAAACAACAAATTGTGAAAATAAACAGTTGTAATTTTTATAATTTATTTTTTACATATTAAATATTACTCCAAATCCTGAAGTAAAAAAACCATTAAAAACAACAATAAAAAAATAGTTTAAAAAGAATTTAAAATTACTGTACAAATTCTGATGTAATAAAAAAAAGATGTAATCATTTAGTCTCCAGTATCAAATAAGAAAAGAAGAAATTTGTTAGAATGCTGACACTGATTATATTGTGATATAAAATCACTAATTTTTCATGAAGGCACAGGTTGCAAATTTTAGTTATTGGGTTATAAGGTTTACAGCCCTTTATAATTTTACACTTTATTGTGGCATTAATGTGGCCTTTTTTTTTATATTGGAAATCTCCTTCGAAAGCTTGGTATCATTTCTATAATTTGCCACATTATAAACTTTTAAATTATTCACATATCTTAGCTTGAATGGTATCTCACTGATACAGAAATAATCTTTCTTTTTAGGATCAGGATTTTCAGTAATCACAAATGATAAGCAATATTACTTTATAAAACTGATTGTTTAATGGTTAGCATGTTAAATAAATTGCTAAATATTGTCAATGTAATGATAAAGTAATTTCTAGAACTAATTAAAGTTATGCCTATGATCGATGATAATTACAATGATAATCACAACAATAATGATGATTACAATGATGATGGTGATCACAACAATAATGATGATTACAATAATGATGATGACACAACGATTATGATGATTGCAATAATGATGATGATGATCACAATAAAAACTAATGAAAATAATCTTATTTAACTATTATAAAATAAACCATTTTTTAAACCATTTTTTGATGAGCGAAAGATACTATGACTCAAAATGAGGTTTTGATTTTTCAAAAAATGAAGACCAGATATATTACTGATTTGGGGAGAAATGTAGGAGAGTGCTGCTACATTGACTAATTTATGGATACCATGCAAGGGAAAGCTGCTACATCGACTCAGGGTTTGGGTTGGGGCAGGTATAGATCAATCGATGTAGCAGCACTCTCCTACATTTTTTTCCAAATCAGTAATATATCTGGTCTTCGTTTTTTTGAAAAATCAAAACCTCATTTTGAGTCATAGTATCTTTCGCTCACCCCATTTTTTTAAACTATTTTTTTAATGCAGTTGTTACAGCAGGTCCTTATAATCAGATTAGTATCATTGTGTAAAATCTTGTTGTTATGTGAACTAATTAATGTGAACTACTATGTTATGTGACTAATTATGAATTTTACATTTTACTAACTTTGATTGAATTTCTACTAAACATTTTATGAAATTTATGGGTTACTGGAAAGTGAAGATCAATTAATACTAGTATTTTCCTATTTTTGTTTTAACATGGAATACTTGTATATAAAAATTAAATAAGTTTTTTAAACCCAACTAAAGATGTGTATAAAATAGTCGAAACATGTTTTGTTGTTTCATTTGTTAAAAAATATTGTTTTTATTAATGAGTGCAAAAAAAACTTTTCTGATTTTTTGTCAATTAAAAAAAATGTAAAAATGCTAACTTAATCAGGGAAATAAATTTAATTAATATTTCTATTTTTAAAAGAACAATCAATAGTTAGCTATATACAATTTAATTGTATAGATTAGACCATATATATATATATATATATATATATATATATATATATATATATATATATATATATATATATATATATATATATATATATATATATATATATATATATATATATATATCTATTATATATATATTTATATACTATATATACATTATATATAAATATATATTTTATATATATATATATTTATATATTTATATATATATATGTATATATATATATGTATATATATATATATATATATACACAAATAGTATTGCGTACTAAGGTAAGCAATCTGACGTCATACTGAATTAGCCTGCTGCTGGGGGCTTCAGTACATACATCGACTGACAAATAGCCTCACTCGCAGTGGAGTGCTGCTACATCGACTGAGGGTTTGGGATGGGGTAGCAATCGTTTCATTCATCATTCTTCGTTTTTTTTTCTTCTTTTTCTAAAAAAGCTGTATGGGTTAAGGTAAACAAAAAAAAGTGAGCAAATGCTTATAAAAATACGCTTTAGTAAGTGTATATATATATAGGGATGACTAAAAAAGCTGTATGGGTTAAGGTAAACAAAAAAAAGTGAGCAAATGCTTATAAAAATACGCTTTAGTAAGTGTATATATATATAGGGATGACTGAATAAGCGCAAATTTCATACGTGCAAACTGGCTTTTTATTTTGAAATATTTAAATACCTATAATATATTTTTATACCTTTTAATATTATTTATATGTTTATTCAAAAAATATTACATTGTAAAAAAAAACATCACTTTGTTTGCATTCACCTTGCTTAGTTTTATCCAAAGATAAGGAGTTAATTTAAAATAGCATCTTGTTGTAAAAGGAATTTTATATTAGCATCACTTTTGATATATTTTAAAATAGTTACATCAGTTTTTTTATATAATTAACAGCTTGTGCGTTGTATCAAAAAAGTGAAAACATAAACTTCTTTATAATTTAGTAAGAATTTTAATTAAAAAAGTTATTTAAATTTAAAAAAAAATTTTTTTTGTAAAAAATAGAAAATGAGAAAGAAAAAATGAGAAAAAAAGTTGTTTTTTTCTCAGTTTTTCTTTTTCATTTTCTATTTTTTACAAAAAATTAAATTCCTTCTTAACATATTATAACTTATAACACTGCATCAAAAATATTCATAAAGCATACATGTAACTTTGCTTTAAGGCAAGTGAAAGCACAATGGTATACATTTTTTAATAAGTAAATGATACTTGGAAACTTAAATCTTTGTTAGTCATTAAAAAAAAGCGCTGGTAAAGTAATTAATTTGAGTTTTTTTTCTTTGTAACAAGTAATACTTTGTGTTTGTTTTTAAAAGAAAAAAAAATCATTATTTCCAAAGTTGCAATTCTAAGAAATAATGAAAAAAAATTAAGATATTTTAATTCATTTATGCAAATGTTAAGAAAAGAAAGAAGTTAATTTACTTGAAATGATAATAAAAAATTCAATTATTTAATAATAATAAAAATTTAATTATTTAATGTTGAAAAAAAAAAATTAAACAAAATAGACATTCCACAATATGTACATTTAGAAAAAAACACTTCTAGATTTATTTATTTACATTTAGAAAATAACACTTGTTTTGCGGTTTATGTCCTTAAATAAAAAATGAAAGTAAAGATAATTTTATGACGTCAAAAACATGATGAGCTAATGTACTAAGCCCAAAAATCATCTAGATCATATTTGAAAAATCCGGAAAATATTTTGAAAAAAAATTCCAAATTTTATTTTCGAATTGTTTAAAGTTTAAGCTGATGGCATTTTCAATTTTTTTGAAATTTTTTTCTTTGTGCATATAGGAATGATTTAACAAATTAGAAATATTAATTTTTTATTGCAAAAAAAATATTTAAAAAAACTTCTTGGATATCTGTAAAAACTAAAAGTAGAAAGAAATATCCTGATATATCCGGAAAAAGATAATCCCTGTTCAATGTTCCGGAAAAAGATAATCCTGTTCCATGTTCTGCTGCCTTGCAGGATTTGCTATCTAAGCAAAGGCTGGAAGGAGTGTTCTTCCTGTCATCAGTACTATCTTATATCAGTCATGCCTATAGTATTTTTTTTTTTTTTTCCCCATATAGTTGGAGGTGCCTTAGTTACTGTATTAGCTCACCTGTAATCTACATTATATGTATGTTTGTGTTCTGTCTGAACCTCTGGCGCGGTGTTCACTCACCCGTAAGTTACTTTATGTTCTTTATGTATGTCGGTGTTCTGTCTGAACCTCTGACGCGGTGTTCGCTCACCCATAAGTTACTTTATGTTTATGTTTATGTTTTTGATGTTTTTTTATGTATGTTTGTGTTCTGTCTGAACCTCTGGCGCGGTGTTCGCTCACCCGTAAGTTACTTTATGTTTTTTATGTATGTTTGTGTTCTGTCTGAACCTCTGGCGCGGTGTTGACTCACCCGTAAGTTGATTTATGTTTGTTTGTGTTCTGTTTATACTCTAATGCAGCGTGAGCTCAGTAACTAACTACTTACTCCAAATACAAAACGTACACTTACCTTAGACTCCTGTATTTTGTTAGATGCAGTGTTTTTCCTAATGCACTTCCAAAATGTCATGCCTGGTTTTCTCAAAGTACTGTTGCGGGAAGTAGCTCCTTTTAACTACTCCAGGTCAGGTCAGGATAATCCAGATCAATCTTGCTACTGGTATCACGTAACCCAGTACCACCTGCCACAAGCCCTGCTGCCTTTCAGAGTGTGCTCTTCTTATGCAAAGGCTAGGAGAAATAAACTCCGACTAAAAATTCCCCTGCCTTGGGGCTCTTGGTTGAGTAAAGGCTAGAGATGGTGTCTCGATAAAAACACTCATCTTGGGCAGATGTTAACTGCATCCAGCTAAACATCCCCTGCCTTGGGGCACTTGGTTGAGTAAAGGCTAGAGATGGTGTCTCGATAAAAATACTTATCTTGGGCAGATGTTAACTGCATCCTGCTACTGTCTTGTAGAAGGCCTCCTAGGCAAAGACTTTAGGGGTAAGCAGAAAAATTCTGCTAACCAGCCTCGAACCCCTTCTTCATCTATTAGGCTGGCGTAGATGTAAGCTGTGTTACATTGTTTCCTGCCTAGGATGATGAATGCTGTATCTCATTGACTCTACTCATAGAATTTTGCTTATGCCTCTATGATAATGGCTATGCAACTTTTCCTGTTATCTCCATATGAGGGTACAGCTCTAAAACTCAGTTTAATGGTTCTGAGGCCGGCTGGTAGTAAGGTTTCCCGAACTCTGTGGTAGCTCTCAGAGAGGCTGATTCCATCAACAGCTGCAAAATATCAGAGTATTGACAGTGCCATGTTGCGCATGGATGGTGTCCCTGTTAATGCTTTTGGTGTGCATTGTCAAGGCCACATAAGGAGCCCTATGTCACGGCTTAGGGTTAATTAACAGGACTGAGACAACTGCATAGCTCATTGATTAGGAGGCTGTGCTCTATCTATGAATGAGTCAAGTTCTCATTAAACCCAAATCATGACCAAAGTAACCAAAAATTTAAAACCTAAAAAACCATCCCCACCACCTAAATATTTTAATATATCTTTTACAAATATTCGCGGTCTACGAAGCAACTTTCCATCAGTTGAGTCTTACCTCCTGCAAAATTCACAAGACTTGCTTGCACTCAGTGAAACAAATTTAAATTCTGCAATTCCTTCTTCAGATGTCAGTGTTGATGGGTACTATCCTTTGATTCGTAAAGACTCCAATAGTCACATGCTAGGTTTAGGGGTATACATACGCATTAATTCCCCTATTTGTCGTGAAATCAGGTTCGAATCCTTTGACCATTCTTTTATGTGCTTTCGCCTAGCACCTCTTCACTCTATCACCTTTCTCTTTGTTCTTTATCGTTCTCCTTCTTCCCAGGATTGCACTCTCTTAGATGTTATCTCTGATCAAATTGACCACGCCCTCTCTCTTTACCCCTCTGCCAATATTGTTGTTGTTGGTGATTTTAATGCCCATCACACTGAATGGCTTGGTTCTAACACCACTGATTCTGCTGACACTAAAGCCTTTAACTTCTGCGTTTCTCAATCTCTTACTCAGATAGTTAACTTTGTGACTCGTTTTCCTGACAACCCTAATCATTTACCTTCACTCCTTGACTTATGCCTTGTCTCTGACCCTAGCTTATGTTCAGTTTCTCCTTTTTCTCCCTTAGGTGGTTCTGACCATGCAATGATCTCTATAAATCTTTCTTCTCGTACTTCTTTTTTGGGCTCACCTTATCATCGCACCACCTACTACTACCCTAAAGCTGACTGGGATTCCTTTCGTGATTTTCTTCATGATGGTCCTTGGGCTGATGTTTTTTCTCTCTCAGCTGACAAATGTGCCTCCTACGTAACCTCCTGGATTCAGGCTGGAATGGAAGCTTTTATTCCTTCTCGTCGGTTTCAAGTCAAGCCTCATTCTACTCCATGGTTTTACTCCTTCTTGTGCGGCTGCTATATCCAATCGTAACCATTTTTTTCATCTTTTTCAAAAGAACAACTCTCTTGAGAACAAACGGCTATTTATTATTGCAAGAAATCGATGTAAAAAGGTGCTTTCTGATGCTAAACTCCATTATTCTCAGTTCACTAAATCTCGCATCTTATCGCAGAAGTTAGGCTCTAAAGACTTTTGGAAAATCTTCAACAGCATTGTTAAAAAGGGTAGATCTAACATTCCATCTCTCATTCATGGGACTGATCTTGTTACCTCTCCCAGGGATAAGGCAGAACTGTTTGCAAAGAACTTTTCTTCTAATTCCACTCTTGAATCTTATGGACATTCTCTTCCTTCCATTCCAGTCAAACAGGTTGACCCATTGTTAGACATTCAAATCACTCCGGCTTCTGTTGCTGAAGTCATATCTCAATTAAACTCGTCTACAGCTTGTGGTCCAGACAACATTCCTGTCACAGTCTTGCAGAATTGTTCTCCAGAACTTTCTTCAATTCTCTCTAAACTATTTAACAAGTGTTTGACTGAGTCTTGTTTTCCTGCTTGTTGGAAAATGGCATCTGTGGTTCCAATATTCAAAAACTCTGGAGAAAATTCTGACCCCTCCAATTATCGTCCGATCAGTCTTTTTTTTGTTATTAGCAAAGTCTTTGAGTCTTTGATCAACAAATTCCTCACATCTCATCTTGAGTCAAATAAACTGCTGTCAGACAATCAATACGGTTTTCGATCCTCTCGCTCTACAGCCGACTTGCTAACTGCTGTAACTGAAAGATTTTATCGTGCATTAGATGGAGGCGGTGAGGCTAGGGCTATTGCTCTCGACATATCTAAAGCTTTCAACAAAGTTTGGCATGCTGGTCTTCTCCATAAGCTTGCTTCATATGGTGTTTCTGGGAAAGTTTTTGAGATAATCAAATCATTTCTTTCTGACCGGTTTATTAAAGTCATCCTTGAAGGCCAACACTCTTCTTTATTTCCAGTAACTTCTGGGGTTCCCCAAGGTTCCATCCTGGGCCCTGTTTTGTTTCTTATCTACATAAACGATCTTCCTGACAACCTTTCATCTAAAGTAGCTCTTTTTGCTGATGACTCAACTTTATACTCCTGTCTTGACAAAAAGTCTTCTCTTTTCGATCGCATAGAACAAGCAGCTGATCTTGAATCTGATCTCACTTCAGTAATAGATTGGGGTTCACAGTGGCTTGTGAATTTCAACTCTAAAAAAACCCAATTGCTTACTGCAAACAACTACCGTAATATGGTCAACATTCCTATATTAATGAATGGCAATCCTCTTACTGAGTTGTCCTCTTTACGTCTTCTTAGATTATCGCTTACTACTGACCTTTCATGGAAACCATATATACAATCGATTGCTAAATTAGCTTCTGCTAAGGTTGCTTCTCTTTATCGTGCTCGCCATTTCCTTACTTCTGATTCCATTCTCTACCTCTACAAATCTCTTATTCGTCCCTGTATGGAATACTGTTGTCATATTTGGGCTAGTTCTTCTAACGATTCACTCTCTCTTCTTGACAAGGTCCAAAAACGCATTGTAAATGTTGCTGGACCTGGACTATCTGCTAAGCTTGAACCTCTTTCCCATCATCGTAAAGTTGCATCTCTTTCTCTTTTCTACAGATACTATCATGGTCACTGCTCAAAGGAGTTATCATCTCTAGTTCCATCAACTAAAATTCATTCTCGTTTTACTCGTCATTCAGCTAAGTCTCATTCGTTTTCTGTATCTGTCCCTGCATGCTCTAAAAACTTTTATTCATCTAGTTTTTTTCCCCGCACTTCAATCCTTTGGAACTCTCTCCCATCTTCATGTTTTCCTGACTCATACAACCTTCAATTTTTTAAGTCTTCTGTCAACCGTTTCCTTGCTCTATAACTCTGTTCTTTTTTTTTTCCTAGTAACTCCCAACTTAATAGTGGTTGCTTGCAGCCTTGTTGGGAGTGAATGCAAATAAAAAAAAAAAAAAAAAAAAATCCCTGTAAGCCATTTTTTATTTAAAACAAGGCCTGATATATAATATATATATATATATATATATATATATATATATATATATATATATATATATATATATATATATATACACATATATATATATATACATATATATATATATATATATATACATATATATATATATATTTATTTATATATACACATATATATATATATATATATATGCCATTTTTTATTTAAAACCTGTAAGTCATTTTTGCTTATCAAAGTTGTAATATAATAAAATGTAATTTTTATTAACCTCTTTCCAAAGCATTTGAAATTGTTTAAACTCTTCTAAAACATTTGCAACTTCCACCTTCAATGAACTAATGGAAGAACTCAGTATAGATACAGTTTTTATTATCTCTTTATGTTCCAAAACTATTTTGAAAACAGATTTTACTGATGCTGAACCTAAAAACATATATATTTTTCAATTAAAAAAAAAAAAAAAAACAATAACAAAGTACACAAAAAAAATCTTAAATGTAAATAATGTTTTAAAAAAAAATTTAATGTGTGAATTTGGTGTTTATTTGGAATATGAGAATCTGATATTAGGTTCACTACAAATAAGCTCTTCAATTAGTCCTTAAGGGTTATCATAAAGATATCATTTGTTCATACTGTTCAAAAGCTAAACTGTTAGTTTCATATAACTGAAAAAGATAAAAAGATGAAAAGACTATTTCAGTATATTTATTCTGGAATGTCATTTTGAGCACATATATGTAAATATAATAAACTGATCAAGAAAATTATGTAGAACATAATAAAAAACTAGTTAAAACAAAAACAAGATATAGAAAAATTATAATGAATAAATAAAAAAATTAAATGTAAAATTACAATGAATAATAAGCAAATCTAATTAGTCTAAGTAACGCTATTTACTAAGGGCTAAGTATTAAGTTATTAAGTACTAAGTACTAAGTTACTAAGTATATTAAATAGTTTATTAACTAAATAAGTATATTTATTATAGTTTATATTAGATAGTATTTATGAAACTAATTTTTGAAAATTCACTTTGTTGATTTACTTTCATAGTATATTTTATAGTTTTGTTAATTTACTATCATAACATATGTTATATAATGTACATATATACACATAGATTAGAGCTTAATATGTGATCGGAGATCAGCACATCCAAACAAACCTAAGACCTACCCAAGAGAATGAGCCATTGTTTATTTTTTCTGAAAAATGAACCATGGTTGATTGCCCCTCTTAGGTGGATCTCAACATAGGTCCAGGAGGGCATCAATGTCTAACCATAATAAACCCTGATACATACATATAAGTATTTGAAACTTCATACATATAATTGTACTTTATACAAACTATATAAACTTAACACAAATAATTACTGTAGCAAAAATACCTTTTCCAGCATCTTCTGTCTGGTGGTTTGTTACTGGGTGAAAATAGTTATGGTATTTCCACTCATAAATATTCTCAACTGCTTTCAAAATCACCTGTACAGATTTATTTAGCCATTGTTGAATGATTTCCAAACTATCTTTCATGACAACTTGAGGAATTTGTAATACTATTGACCCACTAAAAAAAGTAGGCAACTTTTTTATGCTGTGGCTTGAATAATAGATTTTCCTTTTGAGAAATTCTAAGGACAAGCGAACACATTCGGTGAGGGCTTCAATAGTTTTCATGTTAAAATGAAAAATAAAATTCCAATAATTACAAGGACTGCATTCTAAACATCTATTTCCTTTATTTCCTTTACCACATACTAAATCTGGCATGAGACGGCATGGATATATATCATGTTCGCGGAGTTCTTCAAGTTGCTTTGGTTTAAGATGTTTTTTTATCATTTCGAGAAGTGTAAATGTATGAAACTCTGTTAACTCACAGTATCTGAAAATCAAAAATAAGCTTATATACAGTTGTGAAAAAAAATGTATAAAATACAAATTCAAAGAATAAAATAAAAATTAAAGACAAAATATTTATAAATATAAAAATTTAAAAATCTCTTCTAAACTGGGATAGCATAATGATAGAGCTCTAAATGGCTTTACATTCTACCCTGTTCCTAGTTGTAAAAATGTCTCAATATCCCACCTTATTCCTGACAATATTTCTATGATAAAAATAACCATATTGTATAAAAGTTGTCCTTGATGGACAGCACTCTTCTTCTTATTCTGTAACCTCAGGGGTTCCTCAAGGTTCAATCCTTGGCCCTATACTCTTTTTAATTTACATTAACGATCTTCCAGATTTTCTCACATCTAAGGTAGCATTGTTTGCTGATGATACTACCATTTATTTTTTTCACGATAAGAAGCCAACTCCCTCTGATTGCTTGCAGGGGGCATCTGAGCTTGAAAAGGATCTCACTTCTGCTACAGCATGGGGCTCACAGTGGCTGGTGAACTTTAATTAAGATAAAACTCAATTTTTTTCAGCCAATCGTTATTGCAATAATTTATACCTTCCTATATTTATGAACAGTAATGTACTCGATGAGTCTCCTACCCTTCATCTTCTAGGATTAACTCTTACTTCTGATCTTTCTTGGAAACCTTATATCAAATCCGTTGCAAAATTAGCATCTGCTAAAGTTGCTTCTCTTTATTGAGCTCGTCACTTTCTTACTCTGAATTCTATTCTCTATCTCTATAAACCTCAAATCCGGCCTTGTATGGAATACTGTTGCCATATCTGAGGTGGATCTTCTAATGATGCCCTTTCTCTTTTAGACAAGGTGCAAAAACCCATTGTAAACATAGTTGGACCTGCTTTTGCAGCCAATCTTCAACCTCTGTCACATCGTCGTAATGTTACTTCTCTTTCTCTTTTCTACAAATACTATAATGGGCACTGCCCTAAAGACTGCTTGCACATTTAACATTTTAACAGAAGTTGTGAAATATTTATAATGCCCCATTATGAATAGTTAATTACCAAACATTTTTTGAACAAATACAAATTCATTTTTTTTTTTTTTTTAATTTTAATTCACCTCCTCAAGGCCGAGAAGGCCACTACAGACAAGGAAGCTACTTATTTGTGGTTATAACCCTCTCTCAACTCTATAACTCCAAAACACGAACTTTGACGAGCAAGGCCGCTGCGCGGAGAAACGAGTTGAGCGCGGTACTACCAGGGACGTGGTGGGGATCGAACTCGGAACCACTCGTTTATGAAGCGAGCGCTCTACCACTCCACCACTACCACATATTTATTAAAATTTAGATTATTACTCCCAAATGTGATTTTTATCTGACTTTCAGATTTTTTTTGACTGTCAGATTAAAATCAGATACTGTAGTATAATTAAAAACACTTTCAAAAAAGTTTTTGCAATTCATTTAAAATCTCATTTAATGTCAGTAGAGCCTAATTACTTTTGATGCTGCTGTAACTAAAATTACAGTAGCATCTAAATGTTAGACACTAACTTTGACTGTCACTTAAGTTTTAATGCAAGAAAAACATTAACAATAAGATTATGATTCGACCTAATAACTAATCCATCCATTATTCAACCTAACAACCAATCATATATAATAACACAAAAACTGAAAATGATAATTAAAACTATAAATAATAACAAAATAAAAAAATTGAAAAAAATTTAAATTAATAAAAATCTAGTTAAAATTAAAGATAAAATATCAAACATACAAATTCAATGTTTCTGAATGGGCTTTACACAATCTTTCAGTAGAAGCATGAAACTCAGATGGATGCATTATATTGTCTGTAATTTCGCAGAGCATAATACTTCTAATACTCTCCAAGGTACCTTCAATTCCACATTTTAATAAATCAGTAACACGTTTAACAACAAGATCTAGATCATGCAGTGACTTTTTGACAGCTTGCAAGTCTAGTTAAAAATTAGAAAAATATTTAAATTTAAAAACAGTATCAGGAAAAATAAGAATTTAAATAACTAAAATATCTATTTTTAGAACCCCTTTATGTATAAATAGTTCCAGTACATGGATTAAAAACATTTTAAAAGTTGTATTGTCTCTTTATATTTGTTAACAAACTAACAATATACTTAAAATCTCAACAAATAATTATTGTATTTTATTTAAATCATACCAAAAAAAAATAATATATGTCTATATATATATATATATATATATATATATATATATATATTATATATATATATATATATATATATATATATATATATATATATATATATATATATATCCTTGTAGTGTAGTCGAAAGTTGCTACATCGACTATCTTATAGCCTGCTGCTACAAGGGAGTGTTGCTACATTGACTATCTTATAGCCTGACTCGCAACAGAGTGCTGCTACATCGACTGACAAATAGCCTGACTCGCAAGGGAGTGCTGCTACATCGACTGACAAATAGTAAGACTCGCAAGGGAGTGCTGCTACATCGACAGACAAATAGCCTGACTCGCAAGGGAGTGCTGCTACATCGACTGAGAGTTTGGTTTAGGCACGCAGTCTATCATTTAAAAAAAAAAAATTTTTTGAAGTTTTTTAACATTTTCAGGCTTATTAACGCGCTCTTTAAAACAACAGTTTATGGGAAAAACTTGACTACGATGCAAGACTAAATATATATATATATATATACATATATATATACATATATATATATATATATATATATATATATATATATATATATATATATATATATATATATATACATATATATATATATATATATATATATATATATATATATATATATATATATATATATATATATATATATATATATATATATATATATATATATATATATATATATATAATATACATATATATAAAGCAAAGAGACACATATGCTCGCACACCTTAAATAACCATGAATACAAAATTTTTCTTTGACAATTTATTATACTATATATATATATATATATATATACATATATATATATATATATATATATATATATATATATATATATATATATATATATATATATGTATATACACACACAATATATATATATATATATATATATATATATATATATATATGTATATATATATATATATATATATATATATATATATATATATATATATATATATATATATATATATATATATATACACACACAACCATCCATATTTATTTAAATGGTTGTACTTTTTGATATAAAATATCATAGTTTTACTATACTATTGGGAGAAAAACTGAAAACAAAATCTACCTAAACTTTTATGTTATCTTCCTTTTTATTTGCTTTACAAAAAAATTAATATAAAGTCCAATTAGATAAGTTTATAATTTACTTTACATATTCTTGACATTCTACTTAACAACTTATCCAATTTGTCTAAGTCAAGTTTATGTTTTTTACACATCTTATGCATCGTTAGGCAATAGTTTTTAACATTACTTTTTATTCCTCCCATGAAAATCTAATAGGAGAAAGATCTTGTGATTGGGAAGCTAAATCATTTTATTTAATATTTGATTGTTCTCGAACTCAGCCAAACAACTTTAACAATCTTTTGAAAAATATGTTTTAGATTTAAGCATCAAGTCATTTTCTTCTGAAAAAATGAATAGATTCTCATTAACCTGTCTTTCCAAAGGTATAGCATAATTTTTTAAGTGTACAAGTAAACTAATTTTGCCTTTTTTTTTTCCTGACACACAATCTTATCTTGAAACCAAAGATTTAAAACTTCAACATTTCGGTCCGTGTTTACAGTCATTGATGGTTTATATTCTATGTAGTTTTTGCCCACTTTAACATTTTTGTATATGGCATAATATTGAGGTGGAGCTTGGAACATACATGTAAATGAACTGATCAGATCACTCAAGAGTTCAACCAATCAAAAAGAGTTCAACCAATCAAAAAGAGTTATCCAACCAATCAAAAAGAGTTATCCAACCAACCATGATTTAATATGCTGTACCTTAAATGACTATTTTCAATTTAAAATGTTACATTGACAAAAAAAGTTTAAATGTTCACGAACTAACATTTTTAATACTTCTAAATGATCTAATATTTAGCTTATACTTTCAAATCATATATTATTTGGCTTATGTTTAGGAATGATCTAATATTTTGTTTATGCTTTTAAATATAGAGAAATTTAAGATAACGTATGTTGGATGCTAACTATAAAGGTATTACATAAATAGATGATGTTAAATGTCAACAACCATATAACAATTAAACGGGATCTTGCCATATCTCAGATAATTTAAAGGTTTGTACACAAATCTAAACAGAAGTGATAAAACTTTTGTTTTTAAGTTTAATTTTCAAAAACAGTTTGGTCATCTGAAGTGTGACATCCCACTTCAGGTTTGAAATCATGAAAATGTTTAACACAAAAAAATAAAAATCATTTCAATCAATATGAGTATAAGGTATAAAATAATAGTGAAGTACAATTCCATGTAGTGTAATTGAAAAATTCAATTATAAAGAAAATTAATAAAATAATACTTATTATACTTCAAATGTTTTTAACAAACATATAATTATTATTTCTTTTTTTTAGCAAGCACAACATATAATTATTATTTCTTTTTTTTAGCAAGTACAACATATAATTATTTTTTTTTCTTTTTTTTAGCAAGCACAACATATAATTATTATTTCTTTTTTTTTTAGCAAGCACAACATATAATTATTATTTCTTTTTTTTAGCAAGCACAACATATAATTATTATTTCTTTTTTTTAGCAAGCACAACATATAATTCTTATTTCTTTTTTTTAGCAAGTACAACATATAATTATTTTTTTTTTTCTTTTTTTTAGTAAGCACAACATATAATTATTATTTCTTTTTTTTAGCAAGCACAACATATTATTATTTCTTTGAGAACATAAAAACATCTTGATTGTTTTTTTTTATTGAGTTTTGATTAGTCAAAGAGTGCAAAGGAAAACTTTGTAACAAATAAAATTTTAACAAAATGAAACTTTATTTCAAAAAATCTTAGTGGGTTCAACTTCACGTGTATTTAAGAATGGGATACCATAATTTAAAACAAACCTTAGTTTCCTCATTTGAGATTAAAGTTTCTTCATATTTCCTAAGCATAAAAAAGCCTGGTGCCTAGGTATTTTTTTATCAAATATAGAGTATAGGTATCTGTTTTATTAATAAAAAGAAACTTTTTTTTTTACAATTTGTTTTTAAATAAATTTTAATAACTGAATAAAAAAAAGAAAAAATTTCAGATAAAATACCTAAAATAAAAATAATTTGGTTAATTATATTTTACTCCGATATAAATAATATAAAAAAACTTACAAATATCAGTGTTTAAAGATATCCAAGATAAAACTGAAGTCCCAGGTTTAAAAACATTCTCTGTACTCCTTATTATAGGCTGCATCAATGAAAACACAACTTCAGGTATTTTTGACTTGATTACTGCAAAATCTTCAACACACTTACAAATCGATGCATGTAGTAACCTAATATGAGGCTCGCGCAGTTGTAATTCAATAGCTGTAGCAGGCACCTATTTTAAAATAAACAAATTTTTTTAAATTTTACACTGCGCGACACAATGATAAGTCACCCAAAAAAGATTTATAAAACTCTTCTATACATTCATATTTAAAAACTAATTTTTATTGGTAATGAAAGCAAAAGGTTTACAACACTAAACAACATTTTAACAAATTTACTTTTAACGTAACTCGTATTTTATAAAAATAAAACCGTTTTTTCAGTGCGACAAAATTATAAGAAAATTTTACAAAAAACGTTTTATTTGCAAACCGCATTTGTGGGCGATTAAAAATATTAATTTGATGTAAACACCACAGACAATAGCTGGCCACTTCAGTTTCAAAATTGAAACTGAAGTGGCCAGCTAGATCTCCAGATTTAAAGATTATTAATAATGCTTGGGCACAGCTGTCACATATAGTGTTTGAAGGTGGTAAACAATATAGCTCACTAGCTGACTTGAAATCATCCGTCGCATCTGCATGGGATGCAATTGACATTTCGTACATAAAAAAGTTGTATGACTCTTTACCTTCTAGAATGATTGAAGTGACTCAAAAAAATGGCAAAAGTACTCACTATTGATTGTTTAAAATTGAGACATCTTTTTATATAAATGACAATTTATATGAACTTTTTCCAAAAGTGTCTTATAATTTTGTCACACTAAAAAAACAGTTTTTTTTTTATAAAATGCGAGTTAGGTTTAAAGTAAATTTTTGATTAGTCTTGTAATCCTTTTGTTCATTTACTATAAAAATTAGTTTATAAATATAAATGTATAGTAGAGTTTTATAAATATTTTTAGGGTGTCTTATCATTATGTTGCACAGTGTAGTATTTTATTAAAATATAATTTCAGTAATAATTTATTAAAATATAGAAAAACTGTTCAATTTGTAAATTAGTCTGCAATAAACCTACACCACACAAACTTTTACTTGAAAAAATATATTATAGTTATCCCTTATGACACAATAAAATTTCCTATTTTATTAATTGTATATTACTCTTGGTAAATATATATTACCATATTACTTGTAAACATAAAAAAATTAATGTTGTTATAACTAAACCAACTTTTTTTCACTAAAAACTTTTAATAATACATTTATTATTAAATAACAGAAATAGTTGCATAGCCACTATTACATACTAAATAACAAAAAGAGCCGCATAGCCACTTAACACTTTTTATACTAATTTAGTGTGTGTATCAATGTTTCTTACAGTGACTGTAAGTGTAAACAACTATTTTGAAAAATATTTATATTTTTAAACTAATAAATTAAGCAAAAAACGAACCTTTAGGAGCAACTCATCAATATTATTCTTTAGGAGCAATTTTGCTCCTAAAGAATAATATTGATGAGTTAGCTTTGTCTCGGTCAATATAATCTTGTAAGCTCAACAGAGTTTCTTGAACTTTTAAAATTACATAATAAAAATTTTCTAGCTTGCCATAAAACCCAGTTTTAACCCTAACTTGGGAGTAGTAAAACAACATATCTCCCCTTTATTGCAATATTCTTTAGTTACCAGTCACCCTAGTTACAATATGGTTTTACAAAAAAACTAAAAACATTACTATTATTAAACTATAAACAATTTATTTAACTAAATCTACTTGTTATAAATATAAACCAAACCTATGCAAAAATTAAAATAAAATTTTTGAGTCTTTGTGCGTTTGTGCTAGACTCTAAACATAAATTGAGAAAAGTTTGACTATTTTTATTAAACTTATAATAACTTTATATCTATTAATACAATTGAACATTTATAAATATGTATTTGTAAACAAAAATTTCATAACAATGCCCAAAAAATCTAAAACTAAACAAAAAAATTTAAATACAACAAATTTAACAACATGAAAAAATGTTTTTGACCTAAGATTTTTAATTTATTTGTCAAGTTTTAATAATCAATCATTTCTTAGTTATTTTCAAATTTCATTAACTTCATATAAAGTTAAATTTTTTATTCAGTGATATTTAAATATTTATCATTATTAACCACATATACATAAAATATATTCCAAAACTTTATAAAACTTTATTCAATTTTTTATTTAATCTATCAAATCGATGTTACAATTAACAATTTTTTAACAAAATGAAAAGCAATAAAAACTAAGTAATAAAAGTTTGAAAATAAAAATCACCTCCAGAGACATTTTTTGCATGTATTTTATTTCTTTCATCAATTCAAATATCTGTGGATCAAAATTCACATGGAAAACCTGAAAACACAAGATACAAAATGAAACAATTAAAAAACATAAATGTAAACAAAACTCATAAAACATAAAAATCACAAGAATTTTTTTACAAACCAAAAAAATATATTTTATAGTATTAGTATTTTTTATTTTATTAAAGCGAGCATTTTTACTCCCTACCATATATACACCGACCGAAATTGATTGAAAGTAAATTTGTATTTAAAAAGAATAAGTAAAATGATTAGTTATTTTTCCAACATTTTATTTGTACAAACATTTACCAGTTTGCACCAATACAGGGCTCAACTTAAGCGTATCGCGATTGCTTTTCACACCTTCGTGATAAGTTTTTTCGTAAAAAAAATATTTTCCTGATTTGTTTTTGTTGTTTTTTTAGTTGTTTATTCAATTTTTTTTTTAGTTTAGTATTTTTTTTTTGGCAATTCTTAAAAGTATCTTCTGAATAGAAGATCATTTGCTCTTTTGCGCAGAGATTTTAATTTGAATTACTTTAAATCTTTAAATCTCTATCAACAATTTTATATTATTTAAAAACTTTGGTATATAAAATTTGCCGAATGGTCACGCGCGACAATTTTATATTATTTTATATTATAACAACAATTTTATATTATTTTATATTATTTTATATTATTTTATATTATTTTATACTATTTTATATTATTAATTTTACTACTTTAAGTATATTGAAATATATATTAGTTCGTTTTTTTTTTTTTTCTTTCTAATACTTAATCAATGCTAATAGAAACCAGTAACCTTTTATGCGTCAACGTTTTTAAGCTTATTCTTAAACTTAATGAAATATAATTCGATTTATTTAAACTTAATTATATTTAAATGAAAAACTTAATTACTTAAACTTTTATTAGTCCTCTAGATCAAGAAACAATAAATTATTAAAAAAAGTGGTGTCTAACTTTATTTTCTTTAATCTTACACATTTGGTCTATAGATTATAGACTTGTATGGTCTATAGGAATGTTTTTGCACAAATATTAAGTTTTATGACAATAATTTTTTAATTTATTAAATAGAACAATTTCATTTATTTGCTTTGTTTTATTTTAAACGCGTTTTATGTTATTAAGGTTATAAATTGTATAAAACAGCAAAAAAACAGCGTCACGAAGTTGTTTTACATTAAAACAAGCTATTTATATTTTTAAAACAACTTTGAAGATTGTTTTAATGTTGTTTTATAGCTTTTTACAATAACAATTAAATACTCTTTAAAAATAACAGGTGTTTTATCGTCAGCATGAAATAGATTTTTATGACTAATTAAAGTGGTTTAAATATTGTAATGTTTATTTTTTACTCTTAGTTTTTTACTTTTACTTTTTAAGTATCATGTTAAATAAAAACAATTACTAAAAATAATATCTTAATAGTATTAAATACGTTACTTGCTCATTACACTATAACTGCAACTTTAACTTTAAGTCGTAAATTAAGCTGTAAATTATAACAGTAACCTACGCTATTTTAAACTCCGCCAAACAAGAAAATTATAAAATAGTATTTAAATATGAGATAATATGTTAAAAAATAACAACTACGTATAAAAGGTACAATTTTATGCTAATGCACCCCCCCCCCCCCATTACCGCAAAGCAGCAGGAGCTGTGAAGGAAGGGGGGGGGGGGGAATCAAAAAAAATTTTTTTTTTTGCGATTAGATTTTTTTGCGATATTTTGAGCCCTGCAATAAATATTTGCAATTGTGTCAAGTAATGTTTTTTTGTAGAAAAAAACATCACTTGACACAATAAATGAAATGTAGCTTTTCTTTCTTTAAAGCCTTCAAGCTTTCAACCCAGACCACTAACTTCAACCCAGACCACTAACTTCAATTAAATCAGTTGTGTTAAAACAACAAAACAGGATAAAGTTTTTTGAAACCTTGTTATCTCAGGTTTTGATTATTTTTGATTATTTATACATAGACACATACATACATACATACATACATACATACATACATACATACATACATACATACATACATACATACATACATACATACATACATACATACATACATACATACATACATACATACATACATACATCGTGTACCTTAGTTTCAGGGTGTCTTACAAGCAATGAAGCACTTAAGCTATATTTAACATGCTCCACAGTTTTCATCCAGTTTTCATGGTAAACCATCTAAAATATCATTAATCTTTTCAATTCTTAATATAAAACTTTACAAACTTTATATTAACATCTTCATCAACAGCACTTACTTCAAATTCAATCAATGTTCGTGCAACTCTATTGTAACTCTTGACAACTTTATTTGCTTCAGGTGTCTAAAAAATTGTAGTTGATATACATTACAACTTTAGTACATTTTGATCTAATACACTAATACAATTTACATCAATTGAAAAATAAAGAGCTTGCAACATTAGGGTTTGCAATCCCGGAGGTCTTTCTCAATCCCAGGATTCCGGGATTGAGAAACATCAATCCTGGGATCCCTGGATTGATGTTTCTCAATCTATATAGTATTAAGTAGAATAAAAACAATACATCATTACATGCGCAGAAGAAAAATATGTTAATTAATGTTAAGAAATTTCATTAAAAATAAGGAAATATATCATTTTTCATGTGCTTTGAAATGTGACTTCAGAAAGCACAACGCGTCCAATGTTTCATCGCCCAACTTGTTACGAATTTTAGTCCAGCTAAAGAAAATGCCCGCTCAGCCTCAACACTTTAAGGTTTCATTGTCATTAGAAATGAATAAACTCTTTCAAAATAATCACCACATGTATAATTATTTTCAAATACTGTTGTTTCTTTTTAAATTTTTGATAACAGTGTTTCATGCCTAACTGGTTGCATCGGGGATTGCACTTCTTTAATTACACGATCAAGGTCCTCTTCAATAATAAGTGTTATTTTCAGTTTGAGATTCTTCAATAAAATTCAGCATATGAGACTCAACTGATGCTCTTACTAAAGCAAGATTGGAAGCGTTTAATCTTTCCAGCAATTCTACCAACAGTTTTTGACAATTATATGAAGTAGGCACTGTAATTATTTCTTCATTGACTTCAACGGAGCTTCGACCTTTATGCAGGTATTGCAGAAGTTCACTCATATCAGTTTGGCGTTCATGTATACGAGCCATTAAAGCTGTACGCATTTCCTTGCCTGCGCTATCGTTAGCATCTTTTAATTTTGTAAGCACAAAATTAATAGCAATGTCAGCTGTAAATAGGTTACAAGCTCGGCGACAACGTGATTCAACAGTTGATTTAATTGGAAATAAAGTTATAATAATGTCTGATAATATTGTCAAATCATCATACGACAGAGCTATAGAATTATCTTGCACTCTGTAAATATCAATTAATGATTCTTGTATACAATTTTTTACTTTATAAAATCGTTTAAGCATTAACAGAAGGCTGCTCCACCTTGTTTTGCAATCCATAATTATAGACAATTGTTTTCAAAATTCAGCCTTGATATATTTTTGTAAGATGTCATTCTTGGTAGGTGATCGTCTAAATATTAATATTAACTTGCGTACTTTTTTAATGACTGGTCCATAATGAACTTCATTTAGTTCAAGTTTAGATCTTAAAGTTTCATGATACAATCATTAAATCTGTAGCCCAGTAAATCTTCCTCAATATCCTCATTATTAGATAAATCACTGTCAAAAAATTCATTTTCAAATTCTGGATGATTTGCATTGAACTCTCTTTTTTTATAAAGAACATCAATTACAGCCGTGGGCAAAACATAATTGTTGATTTGCAGCCAGCAACCTTCCAACTTTTTTCATAACACTAGCTCTGTCAGTCATTATAGACACAATGTTGCCGTGTAGATCAAGACAATGGTCTTTAAGTTTTTTTTCTAATAGTTCAATGCACTTTTCTGCTGGCATTGACACTGTTATTAGCACTAAACCCAAACTCCAAAACTGAGAATATTTTTCCATGAATGTTAATATTCATATAGCGACAGTTTCAAAGTGATGTCTATTTGTAAAAAGATAAAGAAAATTTCCCTTCTACCCCGAATTCTGTACTCTTGAGCGCTTTAATTTGCTAAACTAAACATAATCTTACTTATTTGCTGTACTCTACTACATGATTACAAATTGTGTTTACTGACGTTGGTAGATTTCTGAATCCCATAGCAGTTAGAGCGGCACGTAAATCTATTGAAGAACAAATTACATTAAATATTCTGTTAGTAGTTTAGATTTGTTTTTTGGTGGTTTATCTGATGTGAGTTCTCCGGTAATATAAGGTTAAGTTGGACTTTCAACCTTCACATTATGCACCTACAACATGTGTATATGAAGTCCTTTTGTTGAACCACCACAGATTTTTAAAATCTTCTTGCATTTTGACAATTTACACATCGCTGTTTGCCCTTTCTCTTCTCGTAGAAAACATTTCCAAACAGCTGAGTTACTTTTAATTGTAAAACCCACATACGCCATGCTTATTTAAGTTTTAATTTTAAGAGTAAACCTTGTAAGAAACGCGCATTTTTTTTCAGTTTAAAAAAGTTTGTTTTGCAGAATTACAAAACAGAATAACTGAAAATAGAATTACTTTCGGCAATATTATACAAAATAAAAATTATTATATTGATGCCCATAAATTGTTATTATTTTTATATATTTTTTGATTTCCCTTTTGTTTTGCTTAATCGTATATCTATGTTTTGCTCAATCGTATATGCTCGAATCCCGGGATTGATATTAGACAATCCTGGGATTACAGGATTATAAAAAAGGCTGGGATCCCAAGATTTCGGGATCCCGGTATTGCAAATCCTATGCAACACTTTCTGCATTTTTTAATACTTTTAAATTTTATAATACCCTTACTAACATTTAATATGTTAATTATGCATCAACCAAAATAGAGTTTTGGAAACAATAGCATATATGTAACCAAATTTTTTTTTTTTTTTTGTTAAATCTATTATGTGTTAATATCATTGAAAAAGATTTTTAAATGTTTAATTTATATGATTTTATTTATTGTAAGTTTTGCTTTTGCTTTGGTCATAGTTTTGTCTAGTTTTTTTTTTTTTTTTTTTTTTTTTTTATTTGCATTCACTCCCAACAAGGCTGCAAGCAACCACTATTAAGTTGGGAGTTACTAGGAAAAAAAAAGAACAGAGTTATAGAGCAAGGAAACGGTTGACAGAAGACTTAAAAAATTGAAGGTTGTATGAGTCAGGAAAACATGAAGATGGGAGAGAGTTCCAAAGTATTGAAGTGCGGGGAAAAAAACTAGATGAATAAAAGTTTTTAGAGCATGCAGGGACAGATACAGAAAACGAATGAGACTTAGCTGAATGACGAGTAAAACGAGAATGAATTTTAGTTGATGGAACTAGAGATGATAACTCCTTTGAGCAGTGACCATGATAGTATCTGTAGAAAAGAGAAAGAGATGCAACTTTACGACGATGGGAAAGAGGTTCAAGTTTAGCAGATAGTCCAGGTCCAACAACATTTACAATGCGTTTTTGGACCTTGTCAAGAAGAGAGAGTGAATCGTTAGAAGAACCAGCCCAAATATGACAACAGTATTCCATACAGGGACGAATAAGAGATTTGTAGAGGTAGAGAATGGAATCAGAAGTAAGGAAATGGCGAGCACGATAAAGAGAAGCAACCTTATCGATTGTATATATGGTTTCCATGAAAGGTCAGTAGTAAGCGATAATCCAAGAAGACGTAAAGAGGACGACTCAGTAAGAGGACTGCCATTCATTAATATAGGAATGTTGACCATATTATGGTAGTTGTTTGCAGTAAGCAATTGGGTTTTTTTAGAGTTGAAATTCACAAGCCACTGTGAACCCCAATCTATTACTGAAGTGAGATCAGATTCAAGATCAGCTGCTTGTTCTAGGCGATCGAAAAGAGAAGACTTTTTGTCAAGACAGGAGTATAAAGTTGAGTCATCAGCAAAAAGAGCTACTTTAGATGAAAGGTTGTCAGGAAGATCATTTATGTAGATAAGAAACAAAACAGGGCCCAGGATGGAACCTTGGGGAACCCCAGAAGTTACTGGAAATAAAGAAGAGTGTTGGCTTTCAAGGATGACTTTAATAAACCGGTTAGAAAGAAATGATTTGATTATCTCAAAAACTTTCCCAGAAACACCATATGAAGCAAGCTTATGGAGAAGACCAGCATGCCAAACTTTGTCGAAAGCTTTAGATATGTCAAGAGCAATAGCCCTAGCCTCACCGCCTCCATCTAATGCACGATAAAATCTTTCAGTTACAGCAGTTAGCAAGTCGGCCGTAGAGCGAGAGGATCGAAAACCGTATTGATTGTCTGACAGCAGTTTATTTGACTCAAGATGAGATGTGAGGAATTTGTTGATTAAAGACTCAAAGACCTTGCTAATAACAGAAAGAAGACTGATCGGACGATAATTGGAGGGGTCAGAATTTTCTCCAGAGTTTTTGAATATTGGAACCAGAGTTTTTGAATATTGGAACCAGTTTTAGTCAGAAGTATTATTTAACAGTAACCAACAGCAACTGGTTTAAATCATGATATATTAAAAAGAACTATAGATTAAAAGAATCAGTGCTCAACCTTCAAAAACCTTTTAATTAGCTATCACTCACCTTAATAAGATATTTGTATTCTTGTTTTTTATAATTTTTTTTTAAACAAAAAATTTTAAATTTAAATTATCAACTTTGATTATTTAATCAAACTGCATGAAATTTCTTCAAATCTCTGTTAATTAAACTGGATGAAATTTCTTCAAATCTCTATTAATCAAACTGCATGAAATTTCTTTAAATCATGAGGCGCTAAATGCTTTATCAAACTTAATAAATTTTATTTATATTGTAGATTACAAAAAAAAGTAACAAATTAATAACCTTTAATAAATCTTCACATCGACTAAGTAACTCCATCGGATGTGATATTTGTCGAAATAGTTGTCTAGACCAAGCAATTTTGCTGGAAATCTTAAATATAATGAAAGTTTTCAAAGATGAAAAAACTGTCAAAACATGTATTATATTATTAAATCACAAAACTGTCAAACTATATATTACATAATATATTACAAATATAGTTCATTAATAAATAAGCTATGACACCTAGTAAATTATTTGCAAATCTATCAATTTAAACATCTTGAATAACTTGAAGAAAAATTAAGTTTTCTATGTCATATCTATTATTTACATAATATAAGAAAAATTAATATTAAAGACTCTTCATCAAAATTTACATGATTTTAAATCATTTTATTAATATATATTATATATTATTTACATTTAGTATAGCATAACATTTTAAAATAAAAAAACTGATGTATTTTTATATATTAATCATTAAAAAAATGGTGTATTTTTATTATCTACATCATCTCAGTGAAAAAATATTATTATTTTATTTATAGCACAATAAACATGAATTTCAATTAATACTCACTGGAGGCATATCACGAAAACAAGGGGGATTTTCTTTTTGTTTTTGATAAATTTTCTTTATATGATCAATTTCTCTGGAAATAAACAGTTGTAAATATATATTATTATAATATTTATTTGACATTAACATCAAAATAAATAAGATCTATAAATGTCCGGAAAAAATATATATTTCAAAAATTTTCTTTTACTAAAATATACATATTTAAACATTTAGGTAGTCTAAAATATGATTGAAATATTTTTGTTATATTTATTTTTTTTAATAATCATGGTGGTATGTATATTGCTTTAAGTCCCAGCTTCTAATTGTAAAAACAAAGAAAAATCACGCAGAGAAATGGAATAATTTAGTAATTTTGTATTATTTAACACCCAAATACATTGTAAGCTGTGAAAAATCTATAATACCATAATATAATCCATAATAATCCATAATATTTTAGCATAAATATTTCAATTGTTTTGGTATTTGATGTACTTTGGTTATTAGAGTGATGACCTTGTTTCCCTGTATCATAACTTGATGAGCATTAAAGATTATATAAACTTTTACTTACCAGGTAGTTTCATAAAAAAACCTCACACACATTACACAATGTCATTGTTGTCAGAATTGTGGTAGCTCTCAGCTCACAACTCTGGTTAATAAGGGCAATACAGATCAAGTATATATATGTTTTCAAGTAGTCTTTTAAGCAGAGACTTCTTTGGTTATCAAAGTAGCAGATAGTTCTGTTTAGAAATCTTCAGCGCAAACAATTGACTGCAAAACCTGTCATGTCAGCTCATGATTATGAAATGAATAACATATTTTATGCAATATACACAGTCCAGGTTTCAAGCATCATAATATATGCAAGAAGAGCTAGAAGAGAACAGAACAGAAAAGAGCTAGAAACAGAACAGCAAGAACAGTGCCAGTGTGCATTGCTGATGTTTAGAACCTCAGCTTGAAACTTTACAATGAAAAAATTTTTTTTTTCAGTGTAGTAATGAGAGACATGGGTGAGGTGGTAAAGAAACTTTATGTCTTTTCTCTAACCACCAATTCTACCTTGCTGAAGGTTGCTTTTAATTTATCATGATTGTTTATCAAAATTAGTCAACCCATAAAGCTTACCGCCCTTGACAGAGCAAAGAACGTAATCCAGCAATTGATGCAGACAACTGATAAAGATGGGTTTGCAACTTTGAACATTTGTCTTCAACTATTTAGTGCAGTTAAACAACTGTTATCTTCTTACCAGTATTTACACTTGTTGTGTCCAATTCATTAGAATTAGTTCCCGCATGTAGAAATTCTAATTTACTAAAATTTGATTACTTAATTAAAAAAAGATATTTAAGAGTAAATTTAGAAATGTGCTTTAAAAATATCACAATTTCAACAATAACACAATATTGCACAATAACACACTATTACACAATAACACACTATTAATCTTTACAACTCTAATTGCTGTTCCACCTTTAACTGCTTATCACTAGAAAATAGATGCAAACAGAAAAATTATAACAAAGAGTTATAATTTTCTTTTGCATTTGTTTCTCCTACACTGAAAAACAATAACAAAAAAAAATTTCTGTAGAACTACATCTAGAGATGGTCGGACATGGGCCACATTGTGTCCGATGTGCAACCGAGTCAAAAAAATTTTACAAGATGAATGATCGGTTTGAATTGAAAAATTTTCAGCGGTGTCCGTGATCGAAATATTCGGTTCTGATTGAAGAATGTTTTGTCCGATGTCCGCCATTGTCAGACTTTTTTATGGCCGCCATGTTCGGCGTCCGACTAGGCCGGCATTTCTGGGCCAAATCGATTAAAATTGATTGACTTTTCAGAAAGTGTTCGACTGTTCGGTTGTACGACTTGTTCAGCATTATTATCTTTCTTGAATTTATTCCATTTTAATCCAAATTATTCACCACAGCTTTAAATTATTTCAAGACTTTTAAAAGTTTCATTCTCCTTGGACTACAGGAATTGAAGCATTTAATTTTTTTTAACACTGATGCAGTGGTTTTCATAATTTAAAGTTTAGCTTTTTTGAAATCAGCGTAAAAAACTGCATAAGAAAAACTTATTTTGATTATCAAATTCAAACATGACCAAAAGCAAAGAAGATATGATAAATATCCAATTTGCTTTGGTTGTGAACAAAAAATTAATTTTTTTAAAATTTTTCAATTGAATTTTTCTTTTATAACATATTAAATATATATTACAAAAAATTTATAAATTTATTGAATTTATTAAAAAACTTTTGTTTTGTAAATATCAACTTTGTTTTTTAACTTTGCATGTAGTCAAATTCGATTTAGTAACACATTTTCGAGAACTTATTACACAAAAATACAAAATGGCGCATGTTATAAAAGAGATCTATGAGACTTCAGATGAAGTCATTGAACTTAATGCAATTTTAAATGAACAAATTTCCAGTGGTTCTGTTCTTTTGAAAGCAAAAACTACTGGTGTAGGCAAGTCAAAACTTTGGATGAATTTTTCTTTGCTCTTCAAATTACATGCCACCAAACCTGTCAAAAATATTGCAGTTTGTAACATTTGTAAAAAAGCTGATCACCAAAAGCTAAGTAGCACTACTACAGCCCCAAGTGAACGAATGAATTCCATTGCAAAGCTGATTACTAATGACAGGAGAGCCAATCTTGCACCAGAAACAATTGAAGCCTTGATGCTACTTCGAATGGGCAAGGAACTGCAAAATTCTCGTTTCAATGCCAAGGACAAACACTAAGAAAACTTATTGAAAACTTACTGAACTTTTTTTTTTAATTTACTACCTGTATTATACAGGCTGTATATACTGCACTTAAATCTGTACTAGAAATTACTACGAAGCTGTAAATATGAAAAATTGTCTGATTCTTGTGTCATTTTTTATTTTTCATTTTTTTGCATGTTCGACGTCCGACCGCGTTCGAGATTTTTAGTTCAATGACTGTTCAGTGATCGATCGATGTTCGGTTCGACATTAGTTTTTCTGTCCGGTGTTTGGGGTGTCCGATTTGTCCGGGTTGTTTGATAAAATTATTGTTGCTCGTGTTCGACCGGTTTGGTGGTTCGAACCGAACGAACACGGGCGAACAGAAAAACGTCAATCAGTCCAACCATCTCTAACTACATCATACATTGTTGAAAATTACACCACAGTCCAACCTGACAGTCCACAGTTTTCTATGATATTCTGGAAAATTCTCTGATAAATATACTACTCCATATGTCAGCTTTATGAATTAGATTACACGCATGAATTATTACTAACAGTATATATTATCTTATTATATATTATCTTCAAATGATCTACATAACATTTTAAAATTGCTTGTGCGCGACCTTTTTTAATATTTCAATTAAATGAACTTTGTCTTAGTCATTAATAGAAAAAAAGAACAAAAATTAATTCAACAGGAATTATTTTTGAGAAAAAAAATCAAAAAAGTCATCATCTACTAATTATGTTGTGTATGCATGTTATGTATTTTGCATAGAAAGTCTGAACAACTATTTTAAAATCCCTCTCTTTTTGTAGTGATAAATTATTTATATTTACATATATTTACTAATATGTAAAATATGTACTTATTTGTACATATATGTACAACACATATTTATTTTTATTATAAAAAACCACAATTCGTGATACTTTAAGACATGATAAGATATGACTTACTTTAAGACATGAGATATGACTTACTTTCAGACATAAAAAATGACTTACTTTAAGACATGACTACTTTGTAAAGTATTTACATAAGATATGACTTACCTTGTAAAGTTGAACAACACTTTGTGGTACTTATTTTTTAGGTTTAGATCAATACCAAGCAATCTTTTAAACTTATCCAAAAATTCTAAACCTTGTAATGTCTAAATCAAAACATTAAAATAAAAATAATAAAAACAACAATAAAAAATAAAAATAAAAACTAGTATTTGTATAAAAATACTGTAAGGAAAGTCAATTTTATTATAAGATTTATTATTTAAGATTTATTATATAGGATTTCATTATTGTACTATTTTTTTTTTTTTTGGTAAATAATACATTAGATTTAAGGAAGGTAAACATAAATTAAAAAAACTTTTAAATATAAAAGCCTTCAAATTTAAAAAATATGGACACAAGAAAAAACATAGCAATTGGTTTCTAATTTGAATATTTATTTACGCAACTGTAAAAGATTTTTCAAACCACGAATCAATGAAATTTTGAAGCTCTCCTTGAAGTGAATCAACTCCCAGTTTAAATTTTTCAAAATCAGCATCAAACTAAAAAAATAAAAAGTTAACTACTGTTAATATTTTAAATAAAAAGCAACAATAAAACAGTTACAAAGTTAAAAAACAAACAAACACAGAAGCAGTGAAATTTTATGTTCATATATATACATACAAGCATATTAAACAATTTTGTTTATAAACAAAGTTTTTATATTCAACTGAAACTGATTTACTTTAAAATTACTTTAACTTCAGTTTTATGCAAGTGTGAACATAAACAACACATCGTGTTATTAGAAATTGGTAAAAAAATTAACTTTTAATGTGTTATAGGAGGGGAAAATTCTCCTAATACACATGTTATACTCGTTATTGTACTTGGGTTTATTTTTAGTTAAATGTGTTTGAACAACCTTTTACCTTTTAGTGGTTTGAACAACCTTTTACCTTTTAGTGGTTTGAACAACCTTTTACCTTTTAGTGGTTTAAACAACCTTTTACCTTTTAGTGGTTTTAACAACCTTTTACCTTTTAGTGGTTTGAACAACCTTTTACCTTTTAGTGGTTTGAACAACCTTTTACCTTTTAGTGGTTTGAACAACCTTTTACCTTTTAGTGGTTTGAACAACCTTTTACCTTTTAGTGGTTTAAACAACCTTTTACCTTTTAGTGGTTTTAACAACCTTTTACCTTTTAGTGGTTTGAACAACCTTTTACCTTTTAGTGGTTTGAACAACCTTTTACCTTTTAGTGGTTTGAACAATCTTTTACCTTTTAGTGGTTTGAACAACCTTTTACCTTTTAGTGGTTTGAACAACCTTTTACCTTTTAGTTTACAACTATATATTTAAAAACACATAAAGCTTGTAAAAACTTACATCATTTTTACGATGATCAAGAATATCATAATTTTTATTTTTAATGCTGGAAACTAAGTCTACATAATGAGATAAAATATTTTCAATCCCCTAAAAATCAAAAGATATTATATTAATTCATAACTGATTTCACAAAGAATTAATCGGAATATCTAGTAAACTAAAAAAGATATAGCAGACTAAAAATACATTGACAAGTTTTGTAATAAAGCAATAACAACAATATCATAATCATACCTCAATTTTAATTTTTTTCAATGCAGAAAGACTTTCAACTGTTTTTAACAAATCATCGATTTTTGTTAAACGATTACAAAAGGCATCAAACTTTCCAAAGATATAAGTTTCGCTAACCGAAAAAAAGTTATAATTGCTTTTTAATAAACTATACAAAAAATTTTTTTTACACTGGCATAGCTAAAACATCCAAAGCTAAAATAATAAAATGAAATGCATCAAAAAAACAACTTGAAATTTTTATAAAATGTACAGACAATCTGCATGGTTGTCTATACATTTTTATCAACAGTAGTAACTCGTTAATTAACCATAACATTGAAGTATATTAGTATCTGCATGATACTAATATATTCCAATGTATATTAGTAGATTAATGTATATTTGTATATTAATATTGGAGTATGCTAATATCTGTAATTTTGGTACTTTATTAAAAAACCACAGCAGAGTGCTCAAAATAGACATAAAAAAAGGGTTTTCTAATAATTTTTGTACAGAGCAGCATATCTTGACAAAAAAGATTCCTAACTTTACTGGTGTGAAACTCCTGCAACTGCTTCAAGTGTTTATTCTTGCTTTCTAAAACTACTTATATAGATTTCAACTGATCTGTAATGTAAGTTGTTGATTTGTAACTCTTTATGGTATCTTTTTTTTTTGTAAAATTTGCAAAGTTGGTTCAAATACTGGTAATAAACAACATCAAATTGAAAAAGAACTAGAGTTTTCAAAAATGATTTTAGCATCAAGGCCATTGAAGTAAAAAAGATGCTATTGTCGTATTTATTTTTTAGTTTGTCTTAGTTATATCAGTGTTTGTATTCACAATGTCCAGTACAACCACCAAACTTTGATTTTTAACAAATTTTGAAATCAGTCACATTATTGGCAAATTAATTGATTAAAACAGAGTTGATGTTAGATTAGTAACACACAGAGATAAAGTTGTTAAATTAGCATCTAAACCCAACTATGAAAGTAGAACAATATTTGATGAAAACTTGATAGCAATCCATATGAAAAAGACAAAATTACATTATAACAAACCCATTTACTTGGGTATGCGCATCCTAGATTTAAGTAAGACACTAATGTATGAATTTCACTATGATTATAAAAATAAATAAATAATATATTATAATAAAAATAAATATATTTAGATTTTAGGAAATGTGATTAAGCAGGCACTGTAATTTTACTTTTAAATATGTGGATACAGGTCATTACTGTTTTTCTTAAACAAACTCTTGTCTAAGGCCATTTAACTCCACTAAAATCTGTTTATGTCACTCATATAAGACATGTAAGTGTTTTTAGTTTCAGTAAGTCCATTTAGATGTTGATGGACGATTGTTTAAAACTTCTAATGGGAGGCAGTATTTTGTTATTAAAAACTTCCAACAGCTACTACAACATTCAGCACCTTTTATATCTTTTAACAGCTACTACAACATAAATTCACTTTTTCAAAAGTAGTTTTTGTCCAAATTTAAAAGAAATCACAAACTTATTTAAACTATGGTTCATTGAGAGAAACTTTTAGTGTTGCTTTGAATTATTAACTTTGAATTGAAGTAAATTGTACTTAAATGAGATCTAACTATACTTGTTAATAAAAATTTGTGAAAATTTAAAACTATATTTAAATTAGATACATAAACCTTGAATTGCCCTAATTGCTTATTAACTACATGCACAACTATTTCAGGTAAAATGATTAGCATGATTTAGGTTTCTCCCACATAATATGATTTAAATTATGCTTGCATCCAATTTTCATTCTTGTGGATTTAGGTTTTTTTGGGTATCTACAGTTTCAGCTATAAACTCTGACTCGATATTAATAGCGAAAAACAAATTTTTCTGAATAGTGTACACGTTTATTATTAAAAAAGTTTAAATTCAAAAAACAACATAAATGAACATAAAATAATGAAGGAATATAAAACATGATTTATTACTTTGGTCTCCTTAAACTTCTAGAAAAGTTTGTATTTGTCACAGCATTGATGCAAAAGACTTACAATATTCAGGTGTTGTTTTTCTTATGACCTGGTTTTGGAAACCGATACAAATTACCTTGTGTGCCATAAATAGGATAAAAACATGGCATTATATATAATTACTTAGAACAAAATCTAACCTTTCAACCAATATATAATGTGCAATAGCCATATGTGATTTTACTGAACTTACTAATGATCTAATATGGGTCAGCCTTTTTTTTATCTGCTACAAATAATTACTACTGATTTTCTGTAAATTTTCAGCTCACAAATTTTTTTTGTTGCAGAGATATGAGTTATATATATATATATATATATATATATATATATATATATATATATATAATATATATATATATATATATATATATATATTGTTTGATATACATTTTTATGATTCTTCGACAATCCTAACTAGTTCTTTAAAATTAAAATTAAAAGATAATTTAAGAGCAATCCTTTTCTTTACAAAACCTAAAAAAGCATTCACATCTAAAGATATATCCATTTGACAAAGAAGCAGGTTTTGCTATATTATATGAAAGTAAGCAAAAGATAAATTAGAAGAACAAATAAAAAATAGTAAAGTTATTGATTACGTCCCAACACCCACATTCACTACTAAATTTCAAAAACTGTTATGTAAATTAAGAAAACAGAGTTAGTTAGACAATGCCACTTACTTTTAAATGTATCCATCAGATTGCATCTCACCTAGAATCTACGGAATGGTTAAAGCTCACAAACCATGTTTTGATGTAGTTAATTTATATCCATCTGTACCGATCGATGAAGCAATACTGGTTATTGTTAACATATTGAACAATGATTTGGAAGATTTAAAAATTTGGACTAAATTAATTCTTTTAGATATACACCAGTCAATTGAACTTTCATTAAGCAGATGTTATTTTTTATACAAAGATAAAATTTTATCTAATTCAGGTCCAATTAGTTTATTATTGATGGTAGTCATAGCTGAAGAATTTTTGAAAAATATAAAAAAAAGCCCTAAATATAGCTTTTGTTAATTCATTCCAACCAATAACTTACAAAAGATATGTATACGATACCCATGCTTGCTTCAATTCGAAAGATAAACAAGAACCCTCCATAAAATATACTGTTGAACTTGAAAACAAAAGAAAACAACTAAACTTTTTAGATATTTCTTTTACAAATACAATGAACGGATTTTATGAACTTCAAGTACACCATAAGGATGCGATAACCAATGTTCAAATAAAACCAAACTCAAACATCAACTCAAGCATAATCACTGGCGTCTTTAAAGTATTTTAATGTAGAGCAAAACAAATTCGTTCTAAAAAAACATCTCTCACAAGAAATTGATTTCCTCATAAATACTTTCTTTCAAAACAGTTATAACAAAAGTTATCTATTTAAACAATTGGATAAGCAATTTGTTAAACTACCATGGATACCAATTATTGGCCATAAACTCCCAAGAGAATTTAGAAAACAAAATATCAGAGTTAAATTTCCTTCAGCCCCCAATTTAAATAACATACTATGCAATAACAAAACAAAACTACCTCCGAACTCAAATCTGGGTGTTAACAAGCTTAAATGCTCATGCGGATATATATATATATTAAAGAGACTAAAAAAAAAAATCATTTCAAGAAGTGCGAAACACCAAAGAGCCTGTAAAAATCAAAAATGGTCGAGTTCAGGAGCCAAGGAACATTCTAGAACATGCCACTGATTGACACTTTTGATTGGCTGAATCCTACGAACTTGGCAGTCATTCAATAATACAAGAAAAGAACAGTTTGAGAATCCTTGGAGATAAATAAAGCAAGAGTTCGACACAAGATGAAAACCAATTTTGAAAAAATTTAACTGACATCACTATTATATTATTTGATTGGTTTTTATATTTTACAATTTTTAATGTCTTCTTTTTTAAGCAATTGGTTTAATGTTATTTTGTAAAGTTTTTTCATTACCTGATGATGCTGACCACAATAGATCAGCGAGATATCATTAATATATTATTATATCAAAATATATTTAAAAATTAGTCATGATTTTTTTATGGAAATCAATTTATATATATATATATATATATATATATATATATATATATATATATATATATATATATATATATATATATATATATATATATATATATATATATATATATATATAAATGTATATATATATATATATTGTGATTGTTGTAAAACCACAAATTGTGTTACTTTTAAAAATAACACGATGATTTTTATTCTTGACATGTTTCGTAAAATTTTATTTACATTTTCAAAAGATTATTTTACAATAATAAAACTCTGAAATAAATATTAAAAAATAGAAGTCTTTACAGAGATATAATAACGGACAAAAATTTACATAATGAACCAATATATTTATTAGAAAATAACTCGGTAAATAACCAATCAAAATAACTAACTGTCAAAAAATATATGTATATATATATATATATATATATATATATATATATATATATATATATATATATATATATATATATATATATATATATATATATATATATATATATATATATATATATATATATATATATATATATATATATACTCTTGCATGTCTCTTGCATGGCATTAAAAAATGTTTCCCATAAACTGTAGTTTTAAAGAGCGCGTTAATAAACCAGACCAGAAAAAGTTTTAAAAATTAAATTTTTTTTTTAATTGATAGACTGCCTGGCCTAACCAAACCCTCAGTCGATGTAGCAGCACTCTCTTGCGAGTCAGGCTATTTGTCAGTCGTTGTAGCAGCACTCCCTTGCGAGTCAGGCTATTTGTCAGTCGATGTAGCAGCATTCCCTTGCGAGTCAGGCTATTTGTCAGTTGATGTAGCAGCACTCCGTTGCGAGTCAGGCTATTTGTCAGTCGATGTAGCAGCACTCCGTTGCGAGTCAGGCTATTTGTCAGTCGATGTAGCAGCATTCCCTTGCGAGTCAGGCTATTTGTCAGTCGATGTAGCAGCACTCCGTTGCGAGTCAGGCTATTTGTCAGTCGATGTAGCAGCACTCCGTTGCGAGTCAGGCTATTTGTCAGTCGATGTAGCAGCACTCCGTTGCGAGTCA